GGGGGGGGGGGGGGGGGGGGGGGGGGGGGGGGGGGGGGGAGGGGGGGGGGGGGGGGGGGGGGGGGGGGGGCCCAGACGAACACGAGAAAGATGTCACCCTCTCTAATTTATCTGTCATTTTTATTTTTCAGCGCCCAGGCAGAAAAAGCCGCTTCCCGCTCCGACTAGAACAATGCTGGAGGGCAGACGAGGTGCCGTGCCAGCCCAAGTCTGAGAACAGGTGAAAAACGGCGGAGCGGAGGGCAGGGCGAGGTTGGCGCTGCCCTAGAAGCTGCCCTAGAGGAAGTCGGCTCAGGGGGGGGGGCAGGTGGGGGCAGAAAGAAAGAGGCGTGGAAGAGCTGAAGCCCTTGGCAGTGCTGGCGGCTGAGCCATGGCTACCAATTTCAGTGACATCGTCAAGCAAGGGTACGTGAAGATGAAGAGCAGGAAACTTGGGGTAAGTAGCAGCTGGCATGGCACTCTCTCTCTCCCTGTGGGCAGGTCGGAGGGGCAGATCGGGGGACTCGGGTGAGATGCTAGCAGGGGCGAAGGGCAAGGGGATGGGGGGAGGGAGAGCCACTGCTTTTGTGCAGAAGAATTTGCATGGGGAAGGAGGGGAGCAGCTCTTGATTCTAGGCAGACCCTCGTTTCTTCCCCCCCCCAGTCTGCCAGAGGTGGGGGTGGCTGGAATTGTGGGGTCCCTTCTGGCATTGCTGCATAAAGGCTGAGCATCTCTCCAGGCAAACCTCTGTTTCTATGGGGGAAAGATGCCGACTGCTGATTGGTACAGCTCCTTCTTTTTTTTTTTAATAACGCTTTTTAATGGAGGATCCCTCTGTGTGTGGTTGTCTCTCTGTGTGTGTGTGTGTGTGTGTGTGTGTGTGTGTGTGTGTTGCCTAGCCTGAAAAAATCCACTGGGGCTGTAGGGATGGTTTTGAATGGCCTGGCATAGCATTTCTTTTCCTCGGGGTGCCCCCCCCCCCCCGCCAAAGAAAAGCTTGACCAGAACATTGGATGCAAGTGTAGGCAAATCTTTTTGATTGTGTGGCTCGGAGGAAATTTGTTTGCAAGCTAATTATTTCATTTTATTATCTATGGCATCGGCTGCAGGAGGAAGGGTTCCCTCCCCCCCTGCCCTCAGATATTTTTGATAAAAGAGATGCCTTTGGGGTTTCCGCTTCTAAACTGCTTTCCTGGGCTTTTGAAATTGGCGGAGCAAGATTTGTTGTGAAATGCAAAAGATTTGAATAGAAGCAGGGATGCTGTGGAGAGAGGCAGAATCCAGAGGGCTGCATTCCTTCAGAAAGGGGTCAGGTGGCACCTTTGGCAAGTAGAAAACGTTCTTAGAAAGGGAGCAGCATTCTGGAGCTGCAGATGTTGCCTTTCCATAAAAACATTGAATCAGAAAAGGTTTTCCTTCTGGTTTGTTGCCACCACCGCTGTCCTCTTACTGTGGCTGCCTCTGGGCAAATCCTTCAGGATGCCAGCCCAAAGCCCAGCAGGATTCCTTCCCCATCTGGGTTCTTGCTGAAGGACTCTGGATCTGGACTTGGGAGCCTCTTAGCTGCTCCTAGCATACAGCAACATCTTTACTGGACGCCAACACCTCCCTTTCTCATTCTTAACTGAGTGTTTATTTTCTCCACCATGAAAAAACGCAGCCCACGTTTTCCCTTTGCAATAAATATTTTAATTCTGCCTTCAATCTGTCCCCAGTATCCAATATTGTTAGAGGTTGCAAAATGACAACAGAACCAAGAAACCATCTTTGTATAAAGGATGCAGAAAACCTGGGGGTGCAGATGTGTTGGGCAACAATGGTTGGGTCAAGTAGCATGATGGAAGATTCTGTTTCTCTGTGGGTGCTTCCTAAAGGATCCTTGAGCACTGACTCTCCATCCTGCAGGATTCCCATCCATTATATTCGTGATCCTTAGCAGGTCAGCTTTCTTCCACCTGATCCCTTACAATGCTTAGGATTGTGGCTGAGAGAAGTTCCAGTTGGCATGGTCAAAGGAATGCTGGGAAACGTAGTCCCAAGCAGTTGGAGGGACCCACTTTGGAGAAAGTTGACTTAGGTTTCTGGTTCTGATGAAGGGATCCAGTTTTGGCCAGACTGTTGAGAAGGAAGGGCGTTTTGGAACTGTTTTGTTGATTGGTCCTTTGAATGGCCACAGCAAGCCCAGCTTCTGCCTTTCTCTTCCCACCTTACTTCTCTGCTTAAAGACAGATTTGTATTAAGAGAATATAAATTAAATACATTGGGATTTGTACCCAGAGGCATTTTGAAGTATGTGATGGAGGCATATTATTTTGACTGCTTAAAAAAATATCTTTCCCAGTTACAGGGAAGTAAGATTGGGGGTTGTTGGTGGATCATCATCTTTGGATAGCAAGACGGGCAAACATCTTGAAAGGCCCAGGGGACAGTCTCTGTTGCTCTCCTGGTTGTACCTCTTTTGTGGATGGTTGAAAGCCATTGAGATCTGTTCTTCAGGGAGATATCAAAGTGCTCAGGGTCTCTTTGATAGGAAGGCAGGAAGGTTGCCATCATCTCAAGGTAGTTGAAGGTTGCCATCATCTCAAGGTAGTTGAAGGTTGCCATCATCTCAAGGTAGTTGA